TTCGTTGTATTCTTTTCCTTTCGAATTACAGGGTGGTGTGGTAAATAATATATCGGATTCTGACCTGTATCATTTTGTTCAATTACTGATTCTACAATTCCCAACTTACAGTGTTCTTCTACCGCAGACTTATAGTCAGCATACAAGAATGGATCCTTATAAAATCTTCGAACCAACGAAACAAGTCTTTTCTTAGCATTATCGTAATTATTTTCCAAATTATCACAGTTATGTTTCCAAGGAAGTTGTACTTCATAACGGCCTTCTTTAAAAGTCAAACTTGATTCGAAACTTCGAAGAGCTTCTTCATCAGAAGTGGACACTTTTAAGTCATTATGGATACCTAGCGATTCTAATTCCCAAAACGCTTTTAACTCAGACGACGTTAACTCACCCTCATCCAAATCCTTTATAAGAACTGCGTTTAAAACTCCAACGGATGATGGTTTTATGCTTAAAGAGGAATGTGGAACTAGTCCTTGAGTTGACCATCCCATCAGGTGTATCAATTAACATCACCGATGAAGTTTAAACGTTTTATTTTACCAGAAACTATTTCCCCAAAATAGTCTGATCCAATTAGAATTCAATTTTATGATGATTACTTTGACCATCTTCATAATCAGATAATTTAATATTTAAAGATTGGATCTGTTCATTCAGTTCTTGGCTAGGAATTTCTATTAAAGCATTACAAATTTCTGGTGATTCTAATGCTTCAATAGTCACATGTTTATGACGAGTCGACTTAATGGTTTTTTTTTTTTAAACTTTGTCACGAGTTCGGCGAAAAAACGCTAATATAATGATTAAATTAAGTACGGTTTTAATTATATTAAATACGGCACGGCTATGAAAAAAATGGTGTCGACCAATCGCAATATATTATTTGTTATAAAATATTCAGCAATGATGCCTTGAGACCTCGTTTCGAGCGACATTTGTCAACAAAATATAACGCGTTATAAGAGATGCCGGAGTTTTTTTGCCTCAAAATGTGCAAATTTGAAACGTCTGAAATTGGATAATACTACATCCTTTGCTCAGTCTTTTGAAAATGCACTCGAAGCTTCGTATGAGTTATAGCTATTCATCTCAAAGGCCAAGAAAAGTCATATTATTGGAGAAAAACTCGTCAAACTTTGTCGGTTGAAAGCAGCTGATACTGTTCTTCGACTAGAAAGTAAACAAAAACTTTCACAAGCACCGCTTTCTGACAAAACTTGTGAAACGTCGTATTATTGATACGGCCGAAGACATGAAAAATCAGTTAGTGCAGGCCTTGAAAGTATCAAATTTTTTCTCAATACAGCTGGACGAGAGTACGGATGTTGCGAAATGTTGCCAACTGCTAGTTTTCATTCAACACATACAAAATGAGACAATAAAAGATCAGATGATGTTTTCTGCAGAGTTAACGGCTGCTTCAAAAGCAATTCATATAATGATAGTAATTTCTGAATTATTTTGCAAATGTGAACTATCATGGCAAACGCTGATAGGCGTATGCACAGGCGGCACAGCGTCAATGCTTGGATCTCACTCAGGATTCATACAGATGGACCAGAGAATAAAATCCCGATGTTGCTGCCTTTCACTGTGTTATATACCGTCAAGCCTTGTCAGCTAAGATACTTCCAAACAAATTCAATTAGTTCTTAAAATTATGCATCAAAATTGTGAATCATATTAAAAAGAGGGCTATAAATACTCAATGTTTTGAGATTCTTTTTGAAGATTTGGGGACAGAACGTGAAACAATGTTATTTTATACGGAAGTAAGCTGGTTCATAAAAGGAAATACGTTAACAAGATTATCTGAATTTTGAGCTGAAGTGATTCAGCTTTTGGAAATTCAAAATGAAATTGAATTGCATGTGGAATTCCAAAAACCAAGTAGTCAAGTTTAATTAGCTTATCTATCAGATATTTTCGATTCGTTGAACTCATTGAACTTGAAATTACAAGGTTAGGATACGAATATAATTTATCATCAAGATTCCGTCGCAGTATATACTCATAATTTTCAACTTGGGATCGTGCAATTATTACTGCTTTCCCAGATTATTTAGAACTCTGAAAGAAGCGCGCTTTAAGGAGGCTTTTAAGGATACTGAAACTAAGAATAAAATATCAGATCATTTATAACACCTCACTGATGATTTCAAATGTTACTTCCCTTTCATAGATAATAATGTTTATAGATTAGCTCGTGTGATAATAATATTTATAGATTGGCAATTGATCCACAGTAAACCGATATATCAAAATCAATACATATAACCCTGAAATTCTTTTCACATTGACATAGATGTGCTACCAGAAATACTATAAAAGTAAGCTTTAGAAACTAAAAATGATTATACAGCCAAATATGCCTTTGAGGAGATTGATAAGTCATGATTTTGGGTAAAATAGTTGAAAGTTTATCTCAGCATAGCAAAGCAAGCACTGCAACTACACTCACCGTTTTCAAGTACTTATTCGTACGAAAGAGCATTTTCAGCAGTTGTAGCAATAAAACGGAAGTGCAGAAGCCAACTCAGTGTTGCTAGTCATTTACATCGCTCTCCTTCTTCTATTCAACCAACAACTGATTATCTTTTCGAAAATATTCAAGCACATCCGTCTCATTTTTTGTTTGTTTTTTCTTACCATATGAATCTAAAACAGAATATTTCTATAATAAAACCTTTATAAATTATGTTTTTTGTTCTTACTATCCTTATAGGCAAGTATTATTATTATTATTGGGGAAGGGAGGAGTAGGAAGTTTCATTTTTGTCTGTAGGGAGGCTGAAAAAAACTTTGGGAACTCATAGTTTAGAGGAAAGGAGCATTTGCCGCATCATATGTAGCTGAGAAAATCGGGTACAAGTTACAATTTTGGAAGCTGGTAATAGCATATTCATTTTAAAAAGTTATTTATTTGAAACGTGGACTTTGTATAGTGGGAGAAAAGCAATGAAATATCATTATTAGATAAGGCTTTCACGAGAAACTGATAAAAATGAATAACATTAAAAATAGACTTGAATCTAAATTATTACAAATGCTTCAGTTTATTTCACAGCCTAGGGACAAAAGCACTGCTGAACGGAAAGAGAAGCCAGTCATTTTTATAAGCTCTTATTTAGCTCACTCTGTGTTTGTCGTTATGGCTAAAAGTTTCTCATCGATTTTTAAACAACTTCGTGATAAGCTATCGAGTTCAAATTTGCAAATTTGATACACGCACTGTTTGTGGATGATAATACGACGTGATTTAAACGATTTTTCCAACGTACGATTTGAGGTTTTTAACGTTTAATGCTGAAACAATTTTTCGTGCGTATCTTCGTTTAACGAGCAAACTAAAAATCTCAGGAATTCAGTGTTTGCACTATCATATAAAGAGAGAAAAAACTTTTAAATGAAATATCTTAACATAATGTCAGAATTTTTGGCGAATTTTTCAAAACGCACTACTTTTTAGACTGTTTCACGTCCATGATTTTAAAATTTCTTTGAAATTGCCAGAGATTATAAAGCAAAATCTGCATTACTCAAGTAGATTTAAAATCTCAACAGAAAAACGAAGTATAATTTAATTACTTTTGGTTATCATTACTGGACAAACGATTTCACTTTCATTTTTGCTGTTACATAAATATGCACGCCCCTTGATAAATTTGTTAAGATAGTGGCTTATACTTTTTACAACGCAGCTCGATCATTCGACTGCGTTATTTAGGACTTCCACGCTTTTATAATCGTGATATAAAATTGTAGATAAATTCTGCAGAAAATTGTTTAATCTCTCGTTCCCATTAAACTATATAATTAATTTTTTTTCACAAATAACAAAACCGAATTATTGAACTGAAGTACCGCTGATAATTCAATTTTCATACTGTGAGGCTATTGATAATTCAATTTTCATATTGTGAGGCTAATTCAATACTCGAAATCATTCGGGGCTCCTAACCCAAATGCATATACTGGCTTGAAATTTGGTGTGTCATATTCACGAAATTTTTCAGTTACGTTGCCCAATCTTTGCATAGTCTTCTTAAATTTCAAAATCTTATCTGACGTAATGCCCTAATTCATTATTCTCTATAAATTATTTCATTGAATTCTGGATATTTTTGAAAAGCCATAATAACTTAAAACAGTAAAGCGATATATCAAAATCAATACAAGTAACGCTGAAATTCTTTTCATGCTTATCATGACAGAGAAAAGAGCTATTCTACCACAGCTTATTAACATATGCTAGTTTGCAAATAAAACATTCATTCTTGAGTGAAAGGGGGGGACTGTTCATGAAGCTTTTAAATAGCGAGTACTGCGTAAAGGTTTAAATAGCCAGGCTAAATATCTTGTGTTTTATCGATTAAGTATGTGGTTGAGAGCTATTTGCTTAAAGCAAAGGAATTTTTCGAGAAGAACTTTGAATGAAAAAACTGAATGGATCTTTTGTGTTTTTCATTATGTGCAACTTAAATGACAGCCATTTTCTCTTAAAAATTCTTCCATGAAGACATCCTTTCTGATACACAGATAATGCTCACATGCTTTGCCTTAAGCAGTAAATAAAAATTTTAATGAGAACAAGCTGATATTCATGTTACGCTCGGGAAAAGACACATAAGCAACAGAAGCCTAAATTTGATAGGGATTCGAACTCTGGTCAAATTAGAACAAGTGTTCAGCTGTCCCATCCACTTAGCTGTCTTGATCGGTATCATGGTTAGCGATTGAGTTGTTGTAGTGAAGAGCCTAGGTTCGAATTCCGAAGATAGCATGGATGTTTGTAAGTATTTAATGTAATATCTGTGCGGCATGGTCATATTATTATGGAGGCAACTAATAGGTGTGCCTCGGTTGCCTCCTATGAAGGGATAGTTTACATTCATGCCTTCTCCGCGATTGGAGCCCAGGCCTTTCGGTATGGCAGTCAGAGTCGACGACTGCTTCTGAAATAATCCTGAATCATTTCTTTTCTTCCGATTTAGGAAAATTACGATACAATAGATGACCACAGAGAAAACTCTGATGATGATGATTCTTGGGGTTCTGATTTTGACGATGCTTCTGTAAACGCAAACGTAAGACACGATTTTTATTGTACGAAAAATCATAATTTTGCCTGTAAAGTAAACCAAAAATTGTTGTCTAAAACCTTTTTTTCCTGTTTGACAGTATTCCCGAGAAATTGAAGATAATATAATTAACGAAGATCTGGAAGGTAAGATGTGATAAATTGTTTTATAACAGTATTGCAAAGACAGTTCTGATAAGCAATTTTTTTTTTCATCTTTCTGCATACGAACTAGCGATGTTTTACAAAAATATTTTTATCGCCTCATTATTAAAAAATGATGAATATTTACAATTATGACAAATTTTGTCTCTTTGAGAACCCAAAATCAGAAAATACACGGAATTCTAAGCAGAAAAGTTATTCTAAAAATTATTTAGAATAAAAATAAAAATTAGGAAACACATAGCTATTTAACAACCGCAGGAAAAATAAGGTCTTATATTAAAGACCTTATATTAAAGACTTAAATTAAGTCTTATATTAAAGCCTTTAAAAGAACAATTACCGAGCTGTAAGCATTTTATTTACAGCTTCAGAATGTACATTTTTCAAAAGAACTAAAAGCTAAAGGTAGTCAAAACAAGAATAATTCTCCTTTTATAATTTCATTGCATGTTATTTTTCCCTGTTAAAGTCTTTTTATAAGAGACACTTTGCTAAAGCAAGGACGTACAATTTCGACATTGCCAAAGGTACAGCGGTATTTTAAGTGGATAAACATAAAATTTGTATTTAACGATATTACAATAAACAATAAAGCAGCTAACACAGAAATGCATAAAATTAAGGGTTATTTTTCTAAAATTTTAAATATTACACATATTTAGTTATGATTGTAGTTCATTGAGTAACGTTGTATTTTGGAGTTCTAAATAAAGCTACCCTTCTGGGTTATCACTATCACAGGTGAACATTACGTTAAGCGTTAAAGAAACAGCATTTTTCCAAGCGTTGGATTTTATGATATTCATGCAGGGTGGTACAGCACTAAATGATGATGCTAACTACATCATGGTACATAACTAGATGCTGTTTTTCCTGTAAATAAACTTTGCTCTCAACTTTGGAAAGGATAACATGATGAACTGTCACCTTTAATGTGAATAAAAACCAGATCTCCAAACACGAACCTGTGAGGTTTTTGTTCATGAAATATTTGAAGTTATGAGCATATAGAGATGATTCACAGGCAGGTTTAAAAGGTACTACCAGGTTTCAAGCGATGTGCAATAAATATTCCTAAAGAATATTGCTTTTATTATTCATATATTTTAGCTCATTTTCAATTAGGTTTCAGTAAGGATAGCTGCCACATTCAAGGTTTATTATGAGGGTTATGTGCTCTTTTACAGTAAATGTAATTAAAAAGATTAGATTATGAATTTTATTAAAGAATTCCAAGGTTTTACACGTTTGTGTGCTAACTACTTTATTATATGTCACAAATTAATTGAGGTACTTTTTTAATGCTGATGTACCTTTGTATTACTTTATATAACATCGCAAATATCCTTGGTTATGCTTCTTTCGAAATATATCATATTTAATTGGTAAAACATTTTAAATTGTATATCAGATATATTTGATGTAATATATATTTTCATTTCAGCTCAGTTAAATCAGGTCCTTTCTTTGAGCAGTGAAAATCACACATCTGTTTCTGAGCCAAGCAGTGCACCTGCTGCAGAAAATACTTATGGTAATGTGAATGTACTTGGTAATGCTCTTTCAGCATTTTCTTATACCAGAAGCAATGATATCTCAGAAGTTAGTAGCAACAGATTTATCAATAAAACTCCAGGCAATCAAAGGATACCTGCATTATCTACCCCTCCAGTGCAAGAACGGATGGCAGTTGTAACTTCTTCACATAGTTTAGTTGCTTCTAATGAAGTTACAGAAAGGATATCTCCGACAAGTAAAAATAATATTCCCACAGGATGCTCAGATAATAAACAAACTCTTAATCAGAATTCTGAACTAAATCGCGGAAATAAAACACCAGGAAAACTTAAAGCAGATGCATTCGCCTTCCTGAAGAATATTCCAAGTGCTAGGTCGGCAAATGAGGATAAAGAGAGGAAACACCTAGTGGCAACTGCTTTCGTTCATGCTGTAAAACTCGAGAAGCAAAACTTGAGTCAAAATTCTGGCGTAAATATAAGTGATGAAAAATATGAATGGACACATCCTATACCATCAGCTCCACTTTCGTCATCTTTGAGTTCAGACACAGATGAGGAAGATTTAAGAATTAATCCCCACTCATTTCATAACGGTAGTGAGTCGGATAATTTAAGAAACAAGAGAAGTATTCCCACGTTTGCAAATATGAAATCAAGAGAAACTCCGGAAGTTTCGAAACCACCGCTACCCTCTCGCCCTCCACCAATTTTCGCACTTCATACCGGAAAGAACGCAAAAGCAAATACCTCAGTCACATCAGATAAACCACAAATTCAAATTCCTGCTGGAAGATCAACAAAACCTACTCCCACTGAAGCCAGTTCAAGTTTACAAACAGGACATCAGAGAACATCAGTTGGTAAATTAACTGCAGTTGTAAAGGAGAAATCATTGGAGGGTCGACTGCAGGAATCTTTCAGACCAGTTCCTCTTACAGCCCCTTCGCTTTATCCAATAATTGATGAGTCTTCGTCTGGCAATGAAAATGCAGCAACAACGCCTCCAGAAATTTCTCTTGCACCACCATTGCCAAAACCGAAACCAAGGCAAAGTCTTGATACGCATTTATCAAAAGATGAAAATCTGTCAACAAAACAGAATAAAACAGAAGTGGACATTAATGTGCCTAAATTCAGAAGGTAAGGATAAAAACTATAGATTGTTATAATTAAAATTTTTAATTATTTACTAAAATATTATTTAAATATCTGCTAAGTGAGTAAATTATATCGATGCAAGAAACATGAAAAATGTGCAATGCGCATGCCGGGAATCGAACTCCCGATTTCCGGACTACGAATCGGACGTGCTGTCCAGTTACACGGCGAATGAGAGTGGAAAGAAGGGAGAAAATACCTTATATATCTTCTACGCTGAAATATTTTAGTAACAGATGTATAATTTGTTTAAATAACGAGAAGTGTAGAATTAATCGAAAATAAATTTTATATCGCTTCACAAATAAAACGTATCTAAACTCTGCCGCATACAGTTTGTTTCTAAACTGATAAATAATTCTGTAGTTTTACTTCTTAGTTTGCATAAGTTGTCCAAAAATTGCATGAAAACAACACGCCAAAACACACTGAATTTATGTTATATTCAAATTATTTTAAAAAATGCCATATTTTCTGATGTATAAATCGATGGGATTATTTTTAACTATATAATCAGTAGTTTTAGATATACACAGAGTACATGATGACCTTTCATTTGATAATAATAAATGATTCAAGCTTGGCACGAAGTCAAAGCTGAGACTATTGTAAAATCCTTCGATAAAAATGATATTTCAGCTTCTTCAGGTGGAAAAGATCATGAATTATTTGTGTAAAAGTGAAGTTCCGACAATCCAGGTACTAAATAGGAGGCATATGATGATGCAATATCAACGGCGGAAGATAAGAACTGAATTTAAAAATGAGAATTTTATTGCAGATAATGCCAAGTGACCTTAGGTCTGTGTCTATGATTTAAAGATAAGTCAGTAGAAAAATAATATCTTTGCTTGCACTAGTTTAGTTTTCACACATTTTGGCAGCACACACGGGCGGCATTATTACTTTTTCTTTTCATGAAATTCGCATAAAACCGTACTTGTTTTTAAAATTTTCCTACTGAAAAACATTTTTCTTTTAGGTAAAGGTTTAGATGTAGTAGTCACGAAATAAATTTGTTTCAGTACTCAATAACATTCACGAAAATGCATACGATATTTCTTTCGTTCTTAATAATAAAATAAAATTTAATATTAGTATTCCGAAACAGAGGACAACATGTACCACATCTATCAGAAAACGTGTTTATGAGTTCTGTATATGATGGCTAGCTTGCAGAGATTATTTAGGTTTTTTTGAAGCAAAAAGCCAAAAAAGCAGTTACGTTCTCAGCGGTATTCAAGCCACGTCTTTTCTGATTGCTGAATAGACGTGCTAACCTCTAACATTTCGACAGAAGGCACGGGGAAAGCACTAACTGCTTACATACTCTCGCTCTTAAACGGCAATTGGGGAAAGAAGCGAGAGCCAGTCAACGAAGTAAAGGCGGTGAAGAGTTATCGTCTACCACAATTTTTTTCTTACCACTATAGAAACTGTTAGATTTGCCAAAGTAAGAAAGATGAAATATCAATTAAACTCTTGACCGGATTGAAACCAAATGCTGGCCAGACATGCTCACTTGCATGACCAGAGCACTCAATGGGGAATGCAGTAATTTTTTATAAGCTTTCTATTTCAAGCACAAGTGTTTTTGTAAATTTTAGCCATAGGACAAAATGATTTCATCTAGAGATTACGCTAAGTTTTTTTAATTTAATTTTATTGGAAAATTCGAGAGAGAGTACATTGCTTGTACGGAAAATACCTACATATTTCCAACAGAAACACACATTGGTTTCAACAGAAATACAAGCTTATCGGGGTGGCTATGCTGTATATCGAAATGTTTTGGAAATTCACATCTCCTTGAAAACAAGTGTCTCGGATATTGTCAACGCAAAAATTGTGAAATGCGTTAAACACTTCAAAAAACATGAATGAAACATGGAAACATGAAAAAACATGAGAATTTGTATAAGGAGATGTTTTTTTCCAAAGCCTCGGCTTTTGGCTTTTGTGACAGAGATGCCAGAATACGAATTACTGATATCGTCTCTACCATACAAAATGTATAAAGTTTTGGAATTTTCGTAACATTTCCCAATGAAAAAGAAGTTGAGTGTTACCCATCATTAGCATTGGAAATTATTTTTTATCAGTGACGAAGGTTAGCTATGGTTATTGGAATATGATAAAGATCGCAAGGTCTGTCTGACTAGGAAAAGGGATGCCTTCTAAGTGACTTGCAAAGCGAAACTGGCTCTTGTTCGCATTAGAGATGAAAAAACTTTGAAAAACCAAACATACATCCAAACCATTGGCCTCGATTCAAACCAGGGCCGAGTTACCAGCATTCCCAGCTCTCTCAAACATTCGGCCACTGATGGGGCTTAGCGATGAAGGAAAGACGAACTCTTATTTTAAGCAGGTAACGGATTCTAGTCTGCAGGAAAGAAAAGAGGGAGTAGTTTTCGGTTTAAAACTTTTGTACCTCTCAGTTTAAACATATATAAAGCATTCGCACTGGTTACTTAAACATTGTTAAGAAAAATTTAGAGTACCCTTTTGTAAATGCTCTTATGCACTAAAACCAATTTACAAGAAAATACTGCTGCTTTATGATGTAAAATACCTTTGCGGTGTCTAAAAAACTGGAAATTTGATTTGAAGTGGCTTTTGATCAAGCCATAAAAAAGATGCTCCAAGCACTTACTAATTTAAAAAGTTTAACTTAAAAAATGTGTAATTTCTGCGAATAATTTTCAGCGAATGTTTAAGAACTGAGGTACAACATTTAGATCTCAGTACTTATTGCTACCCTACCCATTTGCCCGTTCCCAATGACTGCTAAAAATAACGAATATCTTATCTAAATTCAATAAAATCCAAAGATTTGATAATTATACGATATAGCTGTTGCTGACTCATTTGGTTTATTTTCAGAGAAAGAAATCTGAAAAAACAGCATTGTCCTCGCAAGGATTCGAACTCTGCACCTCCTGATTGCTAGCCGAACATGCTTTCAATTACGAGTACATTACGGTAAGAACGGAGAAAATTCCTTACAGTAATTAAACAGCAATTGTATGGGAAGCTGCTACGCCGCAAGGCAAAAATCAAAAGTGTTTTTGAAGGTTTGGCATGGTAAAATGAAAACTTTATTAAGATATCCTGCAGAATCACACTGAAACTATGATATCATATCCGTTACATGGTACTTTGAAATGTAAGCTAGAGATAAACATTCCTATAAAAGCAAAATGAAAGATTACTCCAAATTAGGTAAAGCAGTGAAAGTAACTATAGTGGACTTAGCAAGAGGACAGCAAGTAAAGTTTGCTTACAAACATTGGGTCGTGTTTCATAACTGTAACTTCCATCAGTGGCCGGAGGATTAAAGACGGCTGAATACATGTAGTTCCGCCCGGATTCGAATCCAGAGAAGCTAGGCTGGTTGCATATTGCTTTTTGTGGTTTTCTTTTGTGTGTAAAATCCCACTAGTGGCCAAGTGAACTGAATACTGGTACTTTCACTCAGTTTCGAAACCGTAGATACTGGTTGGCTGCATGTTTGGATTTCATGTTTTTCCCGTGTTCTTCGTGCATACGTGTTAGTTTCCCTTAGAAGGCCCTTCACCAAAACATCTCTTCTACTCCTTATACGCCTTTCTATGTCTAATTAATCTAATCTCTTATCAGTATGTAATCTCTTTAATAACTAAAATGCTTTTTGGTTATAAACAATATGGCAATCATGGCATTATGTACGGAGCGTATGGCAAGATATATAGGTATATATAAATCATGGTATAGCAAAAATACAATTCACATTCTGTATGAAATATGGAAATGCAGACTCTATATGGGTAGTTTTACGAGTCCATGCTGCAATGTGTGGCAGAATATAAAACATTTTGAAATAATGGTGTCCCAACATCCTGTTTAGAGTTATGATAACTTCGTATTTAATAATATAACAACTTAGTGCTAGAGTTAACTTAGTAACTTATAGTTATAACGTTTGCAATATTGTTATATAACGTTGTTTGTAACTTTGTTTTGTAACGTTGTTATAATTCTAAAGAGCAGTAAGTTTCTGTCATCCCACTCTCATTTTTTAATAATTTATTGTTGTTGGGACTATTGATTTTTTTCCAGATATCATTTCAACACGCTGCCTTCTTCTGGGTGCAGTTTCTTTTGACGGTGAATTAGATTATATCATAAATAATTTAACTAATCTTTATTCTGAAATCGATGAACACTCGTTAGTTGATTATAAGAAACATTTATGCTCTTGGTTTAAGAATCAAACGAAGTGACATGAGCATAATTCCAATACGTTTAATCAATTTGATTACACTTTCTTTCCTATGCAGTTCCTTTAATTTATTAGGAAATTATAATGTCACATATATGCATTTGGAAACTTAAGAAGATTGCATTAAGCATAAATGTTATTTTCTCAGGTCTTTGGGCTCTAGTATGGAGATTTTATCAGAAGCAAAACAGCCATTTCCCTCATCAACTATAATACAGGCATGTATTTGGCTACTTTTTTCTGTAAATTATCCTATATTTTCTCCTCACTTATACTGAAGAAAAGTTTTTTTTCAAAGCCGCATAATTGCAGAAAACATAATTCAATACGAATGTCCATAATTTCCGTAGACAGTTTAATTTCATATTAAGATGGTATAATCTTTAGACTTTTTAACCTATGTTATTATATTAATTTGAGATACTGCTGATCTAGATATTGTAGATGAGTGTCATTAACTTACCATTTTCCTACTTTAGTTCTTTTAATGCATGTTTTTTGAGTGTAATATAGGTTAGATCTTCATTTACAGGCAGCAAACATGGAACAAAAACCAAAGCCACCCAAGCCGATTTCTCCAATAGGTAAGAAAAATATTTTTGTTACAATGAAACTCTCTTTAACAAGATTTTACTTTCCAAGAGGCAATTGTAAAAATGCAAAATTACTAATGATGTTTCAATTAAATGCAGTAAAAGGATGTCACCAGTATAATGTGCAATGTTATGAACTCATTGCATTCTCTTTGTAAGTACGCAAGACCTGAATTTCTATTGGGATTTGAAGCTATGATCTTTCCCTACTGTGAGCAGCTTTCAGATGTTTTCTATTGGATGATAAAACTTATAAATTCTATCTTAACTACAAGATCTACTGACGCTCTCTTGGATATATAGATGTGATGGGGAAGTACAAAACATTGAATATTTTTTTATAAATTGCAAATTCTTTGCATTTCAAAGAAATGCTTTTAAAGAAGACTTGAAAAGCCAAAATATCGAGACCTTATTGATTACCGCGTTAGTTCCTTAGCTTTGCGATGTGTAAGTTTTTATACAAAATATTTTAAAACGCTTGATCATTTACTTGCTTTGGCAAGCATTTTGTAATACTTTGTGAAACAGGAGTCATATTTCCTTTGAATATAAATGAGCTTAAGAGGGGAGAAATATGCTTTAAATAACCTTAATTAAGCTTTGACTTTGTTCTCTTGCGAGGCAGCATTCTTCCTACTTTCTTGGAAGCAAGGTATTTTTAAGAAAGCTATTATTTCTCATGGGGTTCATTAACTGTAGCGGAACAGGCTGTATGAATGATGATTTGTCTCGAACGCAACGTAAATAAAAACTAATTTCTCTTAGAAATTCCTTCATAAAAGTACCCTAAGCAGATTGTGCAGAGCTTTTATCCATCTACCTATTTGTATTCAGAGCTAGTAATACCGATTCTAAATTTAATGCTTGTTAGTTACCAATTCTAACTTGAAAGCTTTGAATGGGGAATTTGTCTTCTCAGTAGCATCTTATAATTTTTTCAGACACTTTTATTTCATGTCAAAACACCAAAGTATTTTTATGTGAGTTATGATCACATCTTTACGTTTTTCTCACAGGTTTCTATACAAATTGTAGAGTCATTAGGTTATATCGGTGCAGGAACGTGGAAAATGTTTAGTGCCGTCGCCGGAATTCGAATTGTGGACCTCTCGGATACGCGTCGAGCATGCTTCCAATTACGCCACGAAGGTATGCGGGAAAGGAAGAAGAAAACACCTTATATAATCTCCTTTTTTAAAGGGCTGGTGACGAGGGGATCCAGTCGACAAATCTTCGTGGGGACGAATTATCGTTCACCACCTTTTTTAGTTGAGGCACCATTGTAAGGTTTTACAGAATTTTTCGATGTCTGGAATCTGAAGAAATCCGCATTGCCCTCGCCGTGATTCGAACTCCGGGCTTCCCGGATACTTATCGAATGTGCTTCCAGTCAAGCTATGAAGGCATGCGGAAAGGAGGAAGAAAATACCTTATAAGATTATTCTAGATCAGCAATAGGGAAAAAATTCGTTCCGTCAACTTAAACATAAGATTCACTAAAGGGCCAGACGAGAGAAAATTCGGTTATAATAAAACGGTTACAGACGAAAACATCGAAGCGGCCGAGCGGTAAAGATGCTGAACACTGGTAGTTCGGTCCGAGGTTCGAATCCCGCGAACGGGCTGGCTGCATGGGCGTTTTCGTGGTTTTCCCCATGTGTAACGTGTATACGAGCCAGTTTCCCTTAGAAAGTCCTCCACGAAAGACATACCTCCTCTTAGGCAGATAGCCCTAGTGTGCTTTGCCATAATTAAATACACCAACACCGACGAAAACATCGCGGACGAAACCGTTGCGAAGAAAACAACGCAAGGCGAAAACGTCAGGGTACAAAACATCGCGGGAGAAAAGAAAGCAAAGGGAAAACATCACAGTTCTAAAACATCGTGGTACAAAATATCGTCGTCGAAAATAAAGCAGTTCAATAACTTCGCAGTTTAAAAATATCGTGGTAAAAAATAAAGCTCTTACAAATCATCGCATGACGATAACATCGCAGACATGCGTATTTTAGCAATGTTGAAAATACATATTAGCACAGTGATTTGTGAGCGCAAGAAGGAAAGAGGAATGCATTCATTTTTATAGTTCATACCTTTGAATTAGCTAATATATTTTTGCTGAAACAGTGAGGAAACCTGAGCATTTAAAAACTGAAAACAAGTAGAAAATTAATGTAACTTATAGCACTTAATAGAGGTTTGAAACTTACATAGTTAATTAATAATCATGAATAAATTAACATCCAAATCCAACAATGCGATGTTATCGTCACGCGATGATTTGTTAGGAGCTTTATTTTTTACCATGATATTTTCGACTACGAATTTTTTAAGGCATCAGTCATTGGAAGATTAAAATCATAAATGAATTAGTCTTTTTTTTATGAAGTTTTACTGACAAGTTTTCATGAAAAATATATTCTAAAAAAATTTAGAAAAAGAGAGATAGGATGAGATTACCTCTAAAAATTTGCTTAATTAATTGTTAATTTATTTTCTTTCACGTTTGTTAATCTGATATTCTTTTACTGAAAATTATATGTTTTGGTTCCATTTATTTTTAAAGTGCCATTAACATTTTCACGTACAGGGTGCAGCCAATTATTTGGATGTCAATTTGTTAGTTATGATGAAATTCAGCTACATAATATTTCAGCGGGGTATTTGGATTCATTGAATTATAACAAAAGCACACTAGGACTATCTGCTTAAAGGAAAAAACGCCTTTGTGTAATGCCTTCTCACGAACTGTTTATATCTGCATTATACATTAGGAAAATCCCGAGAACCTGATGTAGCCAGCTTTTTCGCCGTGTCGAAATACCAGCGACTTTATCGCTACTTGTTCAGCGACATGTCCAGGATCGATGGCAATTTTATCTGTAGCACAAGTTCTGCATTTATGTTCATATTAAGACTAAAACAAAAAGGTTATTTAAACCTTCTTCTGTTTTTTTCCTTGCTTCTTCTTCTTCTGTTAAAACGTAGTGATAACCCACTATCCGTCTAAACGGGGCAGCAGGTCTTTAAATATCTCAAGTTACAATAACAATTCTACAAACTATTCCGATACATTTTCTAAATTGTTTACTTCCAACAAGACAAAATTTGTAGTTATTTTGAAGCAAAGATTTATACGAACTTGAGAAGGGAAGTGCCACGCAGCTGAATTTAAGACCTCTCTTCACACAACAATACATTGTTATAAACAGTGTATAACAAGTCCATGTAACCAAGAACTGATACCCACTGCAAAATGTCTAAGAATAGCTTCAAGAAACTTGAAATGAGTGTAATTTTATTCTGTAACCTTACAACATTTGTTTCGTACTCTCAAGTTACCCTTACCCACTGAACTTCTACTTGAAGATGAGATTCCATTATTCATTGTTGAAGGCACGACCTGGCGTTAACATTATATGTAAATCCTAATACCAAGATTATGCTACAGATATCAATTGCATATGTCAAAAATTATAGCTCTAATAAGCTTGAAAATATGAGTATCCATCTTTCCGTTATGTGAACCTTCTAAATCTATCTAATCTACTAATTTGCTAAACGCGCTATCAGGTTATCCTTACCCATTGCCTTTACTTGAAGATAAGATTAGATTATTCGATTTTGAATATATAATTTAACTGAGGTTAACATTGTGCGTAAAATACATAACCAAACAAGCATTCTGAAATATGTATAGGGTCAAAGAGTGCGCGGTTTATTGGTTGCTACAGCTCAATGGGCCAGGGTTAGTAGATCCGTGTATTTTGCTAATGAAACTTTTTTTTTTTTTATTTCCCAATAAAAACACATGCATATTGTAAAATCGTATATGCGATTGTTCATTAATGGCTGATACACAGTACGGTAAATACAGAAATTTTAATTTATAGTCAGTTGCTAATATTTTCATTAGATAATCTGTATGTGGTTTAGGAATCCTCTAGCCGCATGATTATTGAATAAAACCCGAAAATGGGCGTTGTTATCATAAACCCATTTACATCATTTTATTTATAAAAAGAAGTTTTTTAGTACTTAATATTATTATAAAAACATTTCTTTTAAATCAAAACTGAGTTATCAGGCAACATAATAACAAACTGATAAATTATGATTTAAGAAAATGGTAAAGTTGCATTAAGTTATCTATTACGTAATTCACATGTGAAGTACAAAAGACTTATAAAAAATTTTACTCACATTTTACGCTTATATTACAGATAATTACAATCAAATGCAAAAGTGATTAATTTGTGATTTAAAGAGCCATAATTTTCATTCCGCATTGTTCCATATTTTTTATTTTTTGTCTACAAGTTTACAACTTTAGCTATGTAAAGTCAATATGATACTAACTCTAGCTCACTAATTATTACAGACGATGAAAACTGGCCAAACTATCTGAACCGTCCTCAGCTCCCACAAAAACTTAAACAGACGCATAGATCGCTGTCTTGCAGTAGTTTGGTTCAGTCCTTCAAAGAAATGAGTTTTCCCAAAAGGAATCAATCTAAAGACAAAAAGCCCTTTGAACCATCACCGACACCAAGAATTACAGAAGGTAACAAAATAGTGATAATAATTATGGCAAAATAGTGATAATAACAAAAGTGATTATAATTATGGCGAATGTAATTCAAATTATATTTCTATTAGAAATGTGTATAAACGTCACCCTTTCTCTCTAGATCAGTCTATAATTGGTAAACAAAAAGCTCCCGAGAACTTTTAAACATATATCAAAAGAAAAAAGATCCTCAAATGTAGAAATGTGAAATATAATTAACCCTTTTCCTGACTACCCCGGGCTAACTTATTTACCCTATTTTGGTGCATACCGCAAGTTAATATTAGTCTGAGAAACCCAGCTTTATAGAATTCACTTATCTAAACTCATTTTTATCCGATTTAAAGCGATATGACGATAACTGAAGTACACCGAACATTATTGAGGTGTTTTTTATTTACTTGCGCTTGCGTAAGTGTTAAGAGATAAAAAAAATGCCTTTTTTTCTTTTATATTGCTTTCCTCTAGCTTGCTTTTTTTTTCAGCTATTTATCAGTGTATACTATGGGGTTAGTGCAATTTTGATGTTAGGAAGAAGGCATTTAGAATATTTTGTTTTCATAAAGTTGTAAAAAAGAGAAGGAGTAGAGTTACAAGCATTTGTGAAGAAGCAGGAATTGAAGCTAATGATAATGACGCATACAATATAAAAATTACGAAGATAATGATTTTGAATTTAGTGGGAGAGATTTTACGATCACTTTCGATTTATAAGCTAGTGACTAGTTACGCGAAATAAAACATTGTGGGAGCAACTCAGATTACTTACGACTGTTATTCTTCTTACTATTATTACTCTTCATTAAGAAGTAATGAACAAAATCAGTTTCCAGATTACACCTCGAGTAAGAATCCGTTATTATACACAAAACTACGGGGGGAATTTGATTACCTTTGAAAAGGTCCGTACATTGAAAATATGTACTGCTACTCAACCTGATCTTCATTGGATACAGTTTACTCTACTGAATTCAGCTCAATTTAGAATAAAGTGTTATTTTTTGTCTGAATCTAAGAATAAATATAACTGGAATATGGATAAGTGACGGCAGAGGAACAAATATGCAAAGATCAGTTCATATACCACATGATTTATCACGACGCTTGCGCAACCAATTTCAGTCGAAGGGTGTTATTTAACTATGGGTATATTTTAAAATCTTCTACAGCTAGATGGTGTAATAGTAAAACAAAAAACACGCACTGTAAAGATTATTCTAAACTTTTTTTATATTAGCAGTTACTTTTATTTATTTCATCCTCCATCTTCTGATTCCGTAAGTACAAGACTTCATTCCAGAGGTTATGGAATCTAACTTATTGAAAAAAAATAGCTTAGAGACCCCTCGTTAGTTATAACTCATAACTATTTGAATTGGCTAGTACTGAAATGAATTTCTGCTGTGAAGTACTTTCATTCTCCCTTCTCACTGCTAGTTGAAGTTTATTAGTTATTATTTGAAATTTTGAGTAATAGCTGCATATTCAGGAGTTCCTAAGAATTTTACTTGTTGAATTTTTAAATCATACGTTTAACTTAGCAATTTATGTAAGCAGAGTAATAAAGTGCTATTATTTGAATTATGTTGCAATTACTTTGGTTTCCATCCGGTAAATCGTTCATCACACAGCCTCTTGTTTCAAGGTCGTTTCGTAAAACTACTTGCCAAAATTGTTTAAGCTGAGATACTACAGTGTTTGCGGAACAGTGACAGTGAATTGAAGTGGAAAGAAATGGTCCGAAAGCAGAAAAATCATAAAATAATAAAAATTTTACTTGCCAAAGAGGAAAGGTTCGAAGCATAAAATAGGGAAATAAAAAATAGTTTACATTAGCACAAAGATGCTTGCAATCGAAATACAAGATTTATGTAAATTAAATGAACTTAAATTGACATCCCCATGCATCACTGTTTATAAAGATATAATGAATAGCCTGTTAAATAATTAGCACTTAGCCTATTAACATCACAGGTGATGAAGCAAAATATATTATAAGAAGTTTTCATCCGTTAGCAGATATTAGCCTTCTAGATTTATATATATGTCTTCAGGGCCGTTCTCAGGCCATTGGCTGCCAGCATAATTTTTTTAAGATTACCCGCCCCCAAATTAAAAAATAAATGCCCGATGACAAATAAAATTTTTATTTTATTTCATACTCAATAATTACTTACGACAAATTATATGAAATGTCCTTACATATGACAAGTACTTACAATGAATTTAAAATATCTAGGCGTAGCTGATTTTGGCCTCCCGCGTACTTTTACGCTCTGTCAGATACAAAGACCCTTTTTAATGTATTTCCCTCAACAATCTGAATGACGTATTGCGATTTCTTTCACGTAGGCAATCGCATCACAACTTAATCCTTTCATAAATACTAATGCCATCCAATAAAATACCTTATTGTACGTTTTCATATTCGAAATGTCGAGGAAAATCATTTTTAATTTGCTAAATTTAAATAAAATTATATATTAGATTAGATTATTTATTACAAGAACTAGAGAGGGAAATAGCTCTCGAGGGCTATTATTCTTATCAAGGAAACGTTCTTGGAGGATTTTCTAGAGGAGACTGACTCGTATTCGTGTTACAGCAATGAACATTAAACACAAATAAAGGAAGGGAAAAATAACTCTCAGCTAGCAGATATATTTGTCGACAACCGAAACAAAGCTGAACTAATAATGCTCAAGAGTCTTAATCATTCAGTTGCTGGTGGGCTCAAATTTTAGCTAGAAAACTCATGCTAAATTGCTGTGTATTTTTACAGCGCACTATAAAGTAAATTAGATAACTATTTTTTAATTTAAAAAAAAAATTTCTTACCATTTTGTATCTCGGAAATGAAACTAAAATATATGAAACGATATATTTTAATATTTTAAACGATATATATTAAAAATATGAGAATTTTTCTGTAGTATTTTTAATAAAAACTTTGATGGAAACGATTGAAAATTTACCACAGAAATACTACTTCACTATAATTTTAAAAAATGTTTACTGACAGAAATGTTATCTCAGTATTACGAGGAGAAAAGGGGAGAAAGAAGCAAAGGCTTACTCATGCACACTGCTGAAAAAAAAAAAAAAAAAAAAAAAAAAAAAAAAAAAAAAATGGGACAGTCCTATATCTCCCGATCTACTGGCCGATTGACGAAATTCAAATTGCGTTCTTCATGTCTCGAAAAGCGCGACTTAGGATATATGTATTAGATTTATATATAGCATTGTATCAATTCTAACATAGGTATTTTGACACAAAATCGGACTTTTTCTGAAATAACATACCAATATTTTTACATATTTCGATTCTACGACTCAAATTACGCCTAAATATGAAATTTTGTAAAATTTGGATAGCGAAATTTACGGAGAAATTCACAAATTTATGTTGGCACTTTTTTGTCAGTTTGCGCCAAGAAAAATTTTAGTTTCACTTTGGCGAACTTCTTAATATATGGCAACCTAGTTTTCCTTTCCCGTTAGAGGAAAAAAAGTCACCATCGTTCCTATTTTCCAAATAATATTCTTTATATTATATTTTTAATTATAACTTATTCATTTTAAGTAATTTTTTTTCTTTTTTCGAATTTCTTCTTAATTGTTTTAGTTGCATGATTTTTTTTTCGAATAACTGTTTTAAAAAATTTCTACTTACCTATTCGAACTGCCTAAATAAAGGTGCAGCGTTTATTTTATTTTATTTTTTTTTCAAATAGTTTTCTTTTTATATATATTTTTTGTCATAGTTATTATTTTAGGTAATTTTTAAATTCTTATACTTTTATTTTAATTGTTTGTGTTGCAATTGTCTCTTCAGATAATTGTTTTAAAATTTTCTATTTATTCCTTCGAATTGAGCATTTTAAATATATTTATTAATATAAATTTTCCAGAATTTGATTTTATTTATTTGAATTGCGTTTCTTTCGGAGGAATACTTTGTAACCCAGACTACAATGCGTTTGAAAACTGCATATATTAAAAGAGAAAATACAGTAAAGCACAGTTAACACGCCTTTCAATGTTCCGTTCAGAAAAGATACATATATATAAATAAGAGAGAAATTTAACTTAGGATTGCGACATTGTAACTTAGGATGACTTGCACACTGCTTTAAACAGTTTTATCATTGTGGCCATTGCTTTACACAATTTTATCCTACATGTGGCTTCTTAAATGTTATTCATATTTTAGTCAAATATTTTATATTTGAAATCGTAAGAATCAAATATCATAATATTGAAAAGTTTTAAATTAAAAAAAAATACAAATACTAAATTTTACCGTAAAATTTATTTTTTCTTCTCATTTTCTTCAGGCATTCTACTTTATTCTTGCTCTTTTTCTTTAGGCATTCCGCAAGTATATTAAAAAGCATTCAAATTTTCGAAATATCTTGATACTTCTAACAATCATTTTAAATAAAGTTATCGCCTTCCATTTCATAAAGGCCCACAAACGGCCGAGAGGTAAAGTCGCTGAACACTGATAGTTCACTCCGGGGTTCGAATCCCGGTAAACGGGCTGGTTGCATGAGCGTTTTCGTGGATTTTCTCATGTGTATCGTGTATGCCAGCTGGATTTCCCTTAGAAAAGTTCTTCACAAAGGCATCCTTCCTTTTAGGCAGATAGCCCTGCTTTGACGTAACTTAATAATTCAATTCAATCCATTTCATCAATATTTGGTCAGAGCCTTTATCAGTCTTTAGAGGCTAAACATTTTGAAGGTATGAGATGAAAGGAAAGACTGGCTTCATCAAGAGGTTTTGGTTTATTTAATTATGACAAAGCACACTAGGGCTATCTGCCTAAGGGGAGGGATGCCTTCGGGGAGGACTTTCTAAGAGAAACTGGCTCGCATACACGTTACACATGGGGAAAACCACGAAAAATGCCCATGCAGCCAGCCCGTTCGCGGTCGATTCGCGGGATTCGGACCTCGGACAGAACTACCAGCGTTCAGCGACTTTATCGC